AGATGTTGGTAATGAATGGCTATTAATGGGCCTAAGGATAGCTCAAGGTAATTTGACTCTGGATCTGCAACATCCTAACTCTCTAGAGTCAGGTATCCTCTGTAGAGTCTTTTTGATCTAGGTGTAACTTTTTTTTTGGCCACTTCAGTTCACACCTCCATCCTGGTTTCTTTAGCATTTATTTTTTCTCTACTTCTAGGATACGCTTAATGTTCATTGTTTGGTTCCATTTACCCTAATTTGTTATGATCCCACCTTGAATTCCATTTTTCTGTCAGAGCTGCCTTCTGAAAGGACTTGGCCTGAGTGCTGCCTTACTAGGTCTGGTGACTGGTAGTCGTCACTGTTCTCCTTTGTCACCGTAGGTTCTGAGCAGTTTGGTCTTGAGACTGTCTTCTGTCTTGGTCTGTGTGGCATTATATGACTCTGTTTTACAGCTTTTACTTTATTTTATTTAATTTATTTATTTTTTATTTTATTTTATGTGTATGCATGTATTCCTTGCATGTAGGTAAGTGCACCCCTGTCATGCAGTGCCTGCGGAGGTCAGAAGGGGCTGTTGGATCCCCTGGGACTGGAGTTACAGACAGTTGTTAGCTGCCATGTGGGTGCTGGGATTTGAACCTGAGTCTTCTGCAAGAACAACCAGTGTTCTTAACCATTGAGCCATCTGTCCAGCCCACAACTTTTACTGTTACTTCAGCATTTTAATTATCACCTTTTACTCTTCAAGACACTCTTAGCATTGGTTTGGGACATAACCTCCCTCTGCAATTATTTTTTTAGGAATTTGGCAATCTATGACCTCAACCCTTCATTGAGTGAAAATAACTCTTAAGATTCGGGTCTCCGTTGTCCCTCCCTAGCAGAAGTCTTCATTGTTGTTTGGGTCTGGCAGCCCGAGATCTATTGACCCAACTAAATTCATCATCATCTTTTCAGACTCTTGTTTGCATCATTCATTACATTTACCCTAGTTGCCCAAAACTAATGTGTCAACATAAAATTCTATATTCCTGTCAGGCCACTTACCATATTGTTAAGAGTTTTAAGATTCTAGTTCTATTAAAGATTGGAGGTAAACCAGGGATGAAATTAAGCAGTTAATAAATAAAAGTCATTCTAGTTGATTAAGTTGTTTGTAAACTTTACTTTAATGGCGCATTTTTGTGTGCAAATGGTGATGGAGATTAAATACAGAGCCTCACACGTGCCATACAAGTATTCTACCACCAAGCTACACCCACATTTCCAACATTACTATTTGAAAGGTAATAAGTGGGGACTAAGAGCACAGCTCCTGATAGGGTGTTTGCCTAGCATGCATGAAACCCTCTATTCATTTCCCAGGGTAAGAAAGTCTACAGATGCCTTTGCTTAAGGCTTTAGTATCATTCTGTTTGGGCTCAAAAGAGTAGCATGGTTGAGTGGAAAATACAGTGTGTCCTTTCCTGTATTAGAGCCTTTCCTGACTCAGCAACCTAAGTGACTTCTCAATGGGCATTGTACCATACCCTTGTAATCTCAGCACTGAGAAGCTGGGGCAGGAGGATTGCCTTGCTCTGTAGAGTGAGAACTTGTCTCAAAGAAAAAAAAAAAAGTAGAGATGAGTGAATTTCGGGGGGGAGGGGGCTAGGAAAGCTAGAGGGAAAGTAATGCCCTAGACACTCTATGAGAAATGCAGAGTGTCTGAACATTAATGCATATGTATACCTAAGAGCTGCTTGGTAAGGAATCCAGTGGCAGATAGAAAAGCCTCCCTTAGAGCAACAAACATGCCATACAGCACTCATCAAAGAAGCTTCTATTTTGCAACAGATGGAGGCTACTGTAGAGTCACACATCTGGTCAGGCACAGAGAACATACCCCTGGGAGATGCCCAGTACTAGGTGACACATCTGCAGTCGAATCTCTACAACTAGGGCTCATGGAACATAGAGGAATAAGTAGAGAGAGGGCTAATGCACCCCTCAACTCTCACCAGTGAAGTTTCCATGTACATCAGAGTGCAATACACACAAAAGGCCACAACTGTCTAAGTTTTGGAGAATAAGAGACTCTAGAGTGTAGGATGGGACTCCTATATGGAACCTCACCCACCCACAGCTCAGGGACCATTGCAGAAGAGGAGGCAGGAAGATTTTAAGAGCCAGAGCTAGTTCATAGCATAAGGAGGTGGAGGCTTCTAGGCCACTGGAGGCTTGCTCATGTGAACTTGCAGCAGTGGTGGCATCAAACATGGGACCCATGTCAGCTCAGTTAAACAAGGGCCCAAAGGGGAGGTTAGAAATAGGTGGCGGGCCAGCACTAGATAGAGAACTATTTGAGACTGTTGGGTAATGGAGAGTATGACTTACATACGACCACTGGATGGGCTGACTAAACTCCAGTGGGTGCATTTACACTGAAGGACATTTGGGTACTAACACCTGAATAAATAGGACTTAGCATGTATGGCAGAGTGTATAGGGTTTGGTGGCGGGGATGGGGGAGGCATGGATGGGGGAGGGGGTCTGGATTTGAGTGGGAAATGTTGTATGAAATTTAAAAGCTCAATTAAAAAAAGAAATTAAAAAAAAATTATAAGTCCTTACCTAAAACCAATCCTTCCTCCCTCTCTTTCTTCCTATCTAAAGAGACTTACTTTTCAGGATCCAGCTCAAGTTCTACTTTTAGTTTAGTCCACTTTTCAAGTGTTTTTAAACATTGTTCCAGATAACACCTTGAAGGAGACATAGACCCTCCCCTTGTGAGACTTAGCTCCATTAGAAACCAGACAGTACTAACTCCTCTGTTACTTAATGTAGCCCATATATTTTTTGTCACGTAAACTCCTTTGCTGTTTGTCTTTTGTTTGACACTGCTTAGTTTGTACCTTCACCAAAATTTTGCTACCCTATCCATTTAATCGCAGTTTCATTCATGTACATCTTATTTTAGAAAACTGTTATAGCATGGTTTAAGTTAGTTACTTTTTGTCTAACTTAGTAAATACGCAAAAAGTTATTTGAAGCTTCTGTAAAGCTTGTACAATAGACTGCAGTTGTTTTAAGAGTATTTTTTCCTTCTGGATTTGGTTTCATCTAACAGTGAATAGATATGCTTAAACAAAATTAAGAAGAGAAATACTATCTTTTTTTTGTCTTTTTGAGACAGGGTCTCTTTGTAGCCCCAGCTGTTCTGGAACTTACTTATGTAGACCAGGCTGGCCTCGAACTCACAAAGATCCGCCTGCCTTTGCCTCCCAAGTGCTGGGATCAAAGGCATGCGCACAGCCAAAAAATGCTATCTTCTACCTGTACTATAAAATGCATATTTTTCCATCAAAACAATTGGCATCTATTAAGTATATAAAATGGTGCTTTTAATATACATAGTGTTGTAAAGTAATAGATGTAATGTTGGTAAAATTGTTGGCTATTTTTGTTTGCTCAAGAGAAATTTAGTTTAAAAAGGGTAAGCATCAGTTTAGGTTTCCTTGGATAGCTTTGCCTGCCTCCCTCCCTCCCTCCCCCCTCCCTTCCTTCCTTCTTTCAATGCATTCTCAGAAAGTGTTGTAGATTATTCAAACTCTAAAGACAAAATACAGTCAATTAAAATTTTGATGCATATTGCATGTTATATACATTGAAAGTTTTATGTGCATTTGTACTTTTGATAGTACATTTGGGTCTCTTACACATTCAAAATATATTGTGTATATTGTATATTTTAAATTATAGAGGGTTATCATTCTTGTGAATTTGCCTTTGTGACTGTAATTACCATAATGCATGTTTATTGTCTGTCAGTCAGTGCTTAAGAATATAGCTGCTAAGGGGTTGGGAAGATGGCTCAGTTGGGAAAGTGCCTAACACTTAGGCATGAAGACCTGAGTTCAGATCCCTGGCACCCACATAAAAAGCTGATCTGTTACCCGAGTGCCCAGGGATGAGGGTGGGGGCAGAGACAGGCATATATCTCAAGCTTGTTGGCCAGCTGTCATAGCCAATCGGGTGAGTATTGGGCTCAGAGAAAGACCTTGTCTCAAAAAAGTAAGATGGAGACCCAGAGAGGAAATGTATACTTGTTCTTGTATACATAGACAAGTAATTTAATTGCCTTGGCTTTAGATTCTTCATCTGAGCTCAGAAGTAAGGAACAAAATATTTACTCAACTAGTGTTCTTATGTGAATGAAATGAGGTTATATGAGGTATATAAAAGACATTTGTAAATTGTATTGTGTTAAAAGGTACTTGTTATTTATGAAATAATAAAAATGGTCTCTAGAATCTTATCATAGTTATAAATACTTTTTACTAGTTTTTGTACCCTTAACATTTAAATCAGTTAGCTTTTATTTACACCATGAGTTATATAACAGTTTTAGCTCTTACTGTTTGTGCATGTTCTCATGAACATGTGTGTGATGTGCTATTGCTCTTCAACAATTGACTTTCTAGGGGAAACGGTCCCAACTGTTGCGTTCTCTGCTTTGCATGCTCTTCGCTACTCCCAGCATAGCCGATTTCAATCTCTAGTGTGCTGTTTGCAGTATCTGACTCCAGCACACACCAAACTAAATTATATATATATAT